CTACTGCTACTACCTTCAACATCGCTAAATCCCTTTTCACAAGAAAATGCAAGAAATCCTTATCGGATTGACTGTAGTATATCCTGCAGTAGCTTCTTTGACCGTCACGACCAGCTCTTCCACTCTCTTGGTAGTAAGCGGCAAGATTCTGTGGGCATGTCCAGTGCACGACGAACCTGAGATGGAGAGAAAACTGACATAAAAAAGCAATGGACGAAAGCAAGTGAGCAATGTATTCACCTCACATCTGGCTTGTCGATACCCATACCGAAAGCTATAGTTGCTGCAATCACCGGAATCTCATTCTTCATCCATTTGTTCTGCACCTCATCACGCATCTAAAAAAACTACAGAAGATACACTTTATGTGTTCAATACCACTGTATGAGAAATCGAATGAACCTTATTTGATAATCCAGCATGATAGGAGAGGCACCGAATATGTGCAATGCTCAACATTTGTGCCACTTGGTCGCATTCGTCTCGGGTGCGACAGTATATGATACCACTCCCTTGGTAAACCTGAAAATGATAGTGCTTATATCAGTTCTTCAAGACTAGATTAGATTTGCTAAGTAGATGCACAATAAATAACCACTTTGTCGTTCTTTGCGCTAGCACTTTTATTAAACATCTCCAATCCTCCTGACTTCTCTTTGGCAACTTTGAGACAACGAAAAATGAATTCAGAGAGATGGCGCTAAAATGAGGAAAGTTAGCAATTGAACAAATCAATTATTCTAAAAAAAATTGAGAATAGTTCTAAAGAGGTAAAAAGAATTCTAGAACTTGAAAGTTACCTCTGGAGCGACGTTAAGGTGATCTTTCATAAACACATCATAATATAGATTGCCACGAAAAGTGGAAGCTTTGAAGCTTTGCACCTGAATTAACACAAAAGATTGAATCAAAATAGTCATAATAATTACAAGTCAAACCATCTTCTTGAGTTCCTGAACTTCTAGATTTTATATTTTTGCAGAGCCATTTTATAGAAATATTTACTAGAATTAGACTTTTTCGGAGTTAGTTCAACACCGACATTACTTAGAGTCTTATCGTGTTCAAACTCAAAACAATAAAGTTTACACGCAATACATTTAATTCAATATCAGAGCGACTCACGTGCTTCAGTTTAAGCTGCTCAATTATATCTTCTTGGGCCTTAACGTTAGCTGTAGCGGTGAGTGCCACCCAAGGCACCTGAAGGAAAGATATTAGTCACAACGATATATTAGCATGTTACAATATATATATATATATATATATATATATATACATATATAATATATATG